GCTTCTTGAAGCAGTCCTTGAAGAAAATCCTGCTTTATTAGTTGAGGAATTGGCAGTGGTTCTCAGTTCAAACCATACAACTGTTCATCATCATCTTCAACAACTTCATAAACTTGGAAAATGGGTGCCTCATGAATTGTCTGAAAACAACCTCAAATCCCAAGTTGACATTTGCTCTTCTCTCCATTCTTGCCAACTTGTTTCACCTTTTTTTGATAGATTTGTGACTGGCGACGAAAAATGGATCTTTTATTGAAATGTTAAGCATCGTAGACAGTGGTTTGGTAAAGGGGAAGGACCCCAGCCACAGCCAAGAAGGGAACTTCATGGGCAAAAGGTTCTTCTTTCAATCTGGTGGGATCGCCAAGGAATAATCCACTTTGAATTCTTACCACCTAATGCAACAATTAATGCTCAAATATACTGTCAGCATTTGAACCAAGCTTTGAGGAAAAAAAGATCTGCTCTAGTGAATTGAAAAGAGGTGATGTTTCATCAGGACAATGCATGACCACACACAGCAAGAATCACATCACAAAAGATCAAAGAACTTGGTTGGGAGAAAATTCCTCATCCACCTTATTCTCCTGATCTTGCTACTTCAGACTACCATTTGTTTCATAGCTTAAAGAATCATTTGGAAGAAACAGCTTTTGTAACACAGGAAGCGGTTAAAACTGACATTTGTGAGTTTTTCGAATCAAAGCCAAAAGAATTTTACAGTAATGGAATTAGTAAGCTTGTTAATAGATGGAAAGAAGTGATAGATAATCAGGGAAAATACATTGTTGATTGAATCTGTAATTAAACATAACATTTGGTCACTTGTTTTCTTTATTCAAAATTCAGACAGAACTTATGGGATGACCTGATAGTTTCTATAAGGAAAATTAAAGAAAAATTAAAAAAATTAGAGATTTTAAAAAATAATTTTCTTATAAAAACCTTAAAGGAAGAGTAATTAAAAGGTAACAACTAAAATAAATAATATACAAATAATAATATATATAATATGATAATTAAAATAATAATTGATGAAATAATTATTAAAGTCAAGTTATTAAATAAATTTAATAAAAAAATATTATATATTAAATATAAATTAATAGGTAATAAATATAAACCAATAAATAAATAAAATTAAAACAATATATAATTGAAATATAAATTAATTGTTAAATATAAATTAAAAAAAATAAAAACCATTTAATAAATGTAAATATAAATTTATTATTAAATATAAAAAATTAATTAATAGAAATATAAAAAAATATATATAAATAAAATTAAATATTAAAAATAAGTATAACTTAATTATTAAATATAAATTTTAAATATTAAATCTAAAGTTAAATATAAAATTATAAATTAAATAAAATATTAAATAAAAAATAAGTAAGTAAAATAAAACAATGCATATAATAAGGACAAAAATAAAAAAGTAAAAATAATAATAGTAGTAATAATGATAATAACAACAACAACAGTAATAGTAATAATAATAATAAAAAAACCTATGTAGAAGGAAGGTTATTTGATAGGAATGAGAAGTAGAAATAACAGTATATGTGTTAGGTGATAACAGATTAAGGAAGAATCAATAATATTCTAGATCAGTTTGAATCTACTTCAGTGACAACATTTAGAACTAACTCATTCATTTGATTTAGTAGTATACTTTGATTATCAGATTTAATTATTCTAATGTTCTTTTCTAAACACAGGTTACATCTACCCTTAAAATTATTAGGAGTGTGAGCGAAACCTATTAATTTCCAGTCAATATGAGGGTTCAGATCTTTCTCTCTCAATTCCCAAAATTTCTTGGAAAGAGCAGTTTGGCATTTTAATTTTGGGTTGGAAAAAGTGTGTCTGTGGGTATAAAGTCTTTGTTTTTATTTCCCCCATGGAAATCCCAATGTAAATATGGTGGCTTAACTTATTTTCTTTAAATAAAAGGGTAAATGGTTTCTTGGTAAATAACATTTGAAGCTCTGCATTTTCCTTCAAAAGTTCATTATTTCTACAATTACAGGGGGATCCATACCAGATTTATTGTTGATACCATAGAATTTATTTAGGATATAATTATTATGGGAGTCGATTATTTTATACATGTTATTTGTACAGGAATAACTTATTTTGATAGTTTTCCTATTGAAGATCTTACTTAAAGGGTTGTTATTTTGGAAATGTTTATTTATAAGCTTCAAAAAAACTTGTCCAATATTAATTTTGGATAACTTACAAAAGGGGAGGTTATATTTTTTTTCTATTTTTGTGCTTACAACTCATCTTTTCCTCACTAGTGTTACTCTTGGGATTTAAGTAGGATAGTTTATTTGTAAAGCCACTTTTTTGTCATAAAATTCTTTGTTTTTATTAAAAATATTTTTATTAGATGAAAGCTTACCAATTCTGGAGATGACAGTAATTGGTATCTGCTTCAAGATGGTATTGTAGTGGTTAGAGTCAACATTAATGTAGTTAGGAGTTTTATGTTCCATATGATATGGTTTAAAGATATTACTATTCAGGTTAAGTGTGATATCCAGATAATCTACAATTTTGAGGTTAGAAGTAATCTCTATCTTAAACCCCAGTAACTTAAAAGCTTTAATAATTTTCTTCTGTAATTTTACAGTAATTGGACCATTGCTTTTGGGAACATAAATGAATCCATTGTCTCTATGTAGGCCTACTATTATATAGCTACAGATTATTATCTATCTATCTATATATATATATGAATAAAGGCAAAAAGAAAATTTATCTTATCTGACATCTTTTGTCCTCTGAGTGACTTTATCAAGTTAAATATAAGGATTTTTTGTAACAAGTATTTATATACAAGAGCAAAAATGATATTGATTTTTTATGAGCACTCCTATACCTACAAATTTTCAAAAACAATAATATTTTTGCTCTTGTATATAAATACTTGTCACAAAATAAAATATTTACATTTGCCCTGAGAAAGTCTCTCAGAGAACAAAAGAGACCTATAAATAACAATTTAACAAATGTTCTAGTCATACACAGAAATAAATCCGGCCACAATTTTGATCTAAAAAATGCCACACTCATCAAAAGATAGTAATTTACTCAGAAGGAAAATCGTCAAAAGTGCCGCCATTGAATATTATCAAAACATCAATCTTCACCCCGTTTTTTTTCCCAATTTCACCTTTCCTGAAGGAATTACTTCTTTCCCAAGCCATCATATGCAACAAATGATTTTTTTCTTTTTGGAGTACACTAAAATGGCATAATCTAAGGTCGAAGTGCCTAGACATTTCAGTTAACCTGTTGAATATTAATAAGCATCTTTAAATTTAAAAATTTCCTTTCGAGGATGCTATATGACGTAATCTAGGTTCTAACATCTAAACTATTCAGCTAACCTGATGAATATTTATGAGCATTCTTAAATTTAAAAATTTTGTGTAACTGTCAATACATGTAGCAAAATAAAACCGTCACATTTGCCTTGATAAAGTCCATCAGATGATGAAACGCATTAACAAAAAACTAAGTATAATTTTACTCTTTTCATTCATTCTACGGATATACTCCATCTAAGAATATATATATATATATATATATATATATTCAAAAACTTTTGAATTTTTATTCTGAAAAGCACCAACTCTCATTTAATCACAAAAATTAAGTGGTGTTGAGCCTGGTCTGTACATAAATGAGTGAACACTTGATAATACCAAGTACTGTAATCAACTGCCGAGAATCCAAAATATATTTCATCTCTAAGTAACCCACAATGGGTTGGTAAATCATAAAAAGTAAATAACTTAACCAATATAACCTGAAAAACAGATAAATATATGACTTTTCTATGAGTCATAGTCAATCAACTCACTTATGAACATGTATACTTAACTCTATCATGAAACTCTTTTTCTTGAAAGAGATAAGTGAAACAGCTACAGGTCAAATACTTATAGTAGATAGGGAGGTTTATCAGTTATATATAAATTGTTTATCTTATGACAGCATCCATTCTCACCATATATTGGTATATTTGATTTGGGTGTATATTGGCCTTGTGTAATGATTAAAAGAAAATGCACAGAGGGTTGATGAATACCAAATAAATCTTTATACAACACAATATAATAATGCAGAAGAATAAGGTGAAAGGTGAAGTTTCAAGAGTTAAAGTGTAAAAGTCCTGGCACATTTGAGAGATAAAGAGAAAAAAAAGAGTCCAGAATGAAATAAATATATATATGTAGTACCTCCTTAACAATGTGGATAAAGGAAAGTATGTTTTCAAATGTAGCAGGAACAGTGTAGTCATCTAAGGTCACCAGCTAGTCATACAAATAATGTTATATTGTCTCTGGGTATGTTACTTTGACCACAGCATCAGAGAATGGAGAAAATTAATTTATTAGTTCTGATTTTGGTTGATATTCCATCTATTTACACATCTATAGATCTTTGAAAAGGCTGCTTAATTCTCATGGTTATGATTGGTTGGTCATTCTATCTATTTTTAGAGATGGTGAAACTTTGGTCTCAATATTATTGTTTATTTTTTTTACATCCTGGTTGTAAAAGCTTTCTTACTGGTTGGTTGAACTATGGCTTTGTTTGCCTGTTATCGCTCTTTCTACTATTGATGGAAGTTTCCTTTCAAAACTTTTTTCTAGTGTTTTTGGGGGTAGTTTTATGATGAAGGTAAATGTTTGTTAGTTAGCTGAACAAAATTTACTACTAATAATAGTAACACTTAAAACAGCACATAAAAAGAAATACCTTATTAAAATAAATAATTAAAGAATTTTAAATTGATTAAGTTTTTTTTTTTTGCATACTGAATACAAAACTGAGTTAATTATTATTAACTTTAGTACATTATTATTTTTTTTTTTCGAATGTGCGGCTAGGAATAGTAATAATATCAAATCTGATGTTTTCGTTTAACACCGGTTTATTTAAATTGAAACACTGGATGTTCGATATTTTCAGAAATTATGGATGCAGATACTATTCAACAGAATATACAACTTTACACATTGCAGGTAGACAATAAGTTAGATAAAATGACAGCTTGAAGCAATTAATCGTAATAGGGTTATACATCGAAGGAGTTGTTAGTTTTTTCCTCTATGTCGGACGTTTGTTTATATTTAAAAATAAATATTTTTATTAATTGCACAACCTTTTATTTTCTAAAGTTTTCGTTTTAATCAGACCTGGTTGAGTTTGTCAGTGAGTTTTCCAGTTCTTGACAGAAAATAAATTTATTTTTTGATACATTGGAAAAAATGTGTAAAAAAGAAATACATGATTGTGAAAAATTGTTTATACAAGGGAATTAATTCTTCGAATTTACAAAAAATTAAGTCTCTCTTCACTCTTTCTTGTGTTGCTTTTATCATCGAAGTTTGTTTTCGTTTTTTTTTTTTTTTTTAAACCTACAATTTTTAGAAAATAAATTTTAAAATATTATGTTTCTTGTTTAAACTTTAACTACGAGACTCTTTATTTTCACTTTTTAATTTATCGTTGAATTTAGATAAAAAATTAAACATTTCGAATAATACTCGTACGTCGTTAGAAAGCTTCATTTCCTCATTGTTAAAGGAATGGAGAAATTAAAACGTGAAAAGCTCAACCGCCCAGCATGTTTCATGTTTCGCATTTGAGAAAATATGTTTTAAGCCAGACGTTTTGAATTTCTTCATAGTTATTTTTATTTGGCTAAATTTAAATTTCAAGTGATTTTATTTGTCAGTAAATGTGAAAATGATTTTCATTGAAGGACATTTATTTTGTTAAAATTAAAAAGTTATAAATAAATTAAATTCATTTATATTATTGTTTACGACGTTCTTTTATTTTTACATGACTCATTGTTTTAAGTTTGGTGGTATTAAAATTCCTTTTATGAAAAATGAATTTGTGCTACTGTTAATAAATAAATGAAATCTTTTTATTTAATTTCACTGAAAACATCAGTTTGTTGCACAACACTGTCACATGAAAAGTAAATAGAGGTCTTTAATGCATATTTGTTTTTAAGTTGTCAAAGATGTGAAAGCTATATCATTATTTATTTTTTTGGTTATTTTTCACTTTTCAGATCCTTGATATTCTTTTCATTATTGATTTTTGGCTATTTTTTTCTTTCTTAAAGACATTTCTTTTAAGTTTTTACTTTTTATCATAATATTCTTGTTTTGTCATTCTTCTCAGTCACCCCAGGCAAAAAAAAAAAAAAAGGGAAAGAAAATTAGTCAAAACTCAAAATGAATGACTTCTTTAGTTTGAAAAATCCACTAGTTTTGCTTGTCATAATGTTGAAAATACTTTTGCAGTTGTGGGTAATATCAGACTTTGTTTTTGTAATTTTTTTGTGATCCATACTCCAGCTCTCCCTTTTTAGCTGTTCATTAATTTCTTCGAGCCTAGGCCAGACTTTTAGCTGCAACTACTGCGACCAAGTATGCCTGTCCCGTATTGGACTTATCAGTCACAAACGTGCCTGCAAGCAACGTGTACAGACTCTTTCATGATCTTCGTTTTGCGAAGCTATGATGGTGATGATGATAATTTCATTGGGTTCATCATATATAGAAAAGCTGACTTAATACTCACTTGATCTTTGGCTTATGGTCACATTACATTGAAACACCAGTTCCTGTATGATCCCCAAAATTAAGCAACGTCGAGCCTGGTCAGCACCTAGATGGGTGACTGCTTGGGAATACCAGGTACTGTAAGCTTGGATGTGGAGGTAGTGTAATGAATAATGGCTAGGAATTGTTAATTGGAGAGCTGAGTTCCAACTCCCATTGGGTTCGTTTTCCCCTGCCCCAACTATGACTGGTATCACTAAACCATTATTCATTTAGTGCTGCTGTGGTCACCACACCTCTCCATCTCACAGTTGTAGTTCATGATGGCATTCAAGACAGTGCAATGGCTTGCTGGTTCCTTTTGCACTGGGGATATTAAGGTTACCCTTGTCCCTCCTCTCAGTAGTTAAAAAAGCAAGACCTACAAGGCAGCAGGTGGTTTGAATTCATAGTTTTCTTTCTCCTGGATTGGTGATAGTATATGGAGGCGGATGTGTGCTGCCCAGACTGCATGCTCCACACCCTCTCAGCTACATCAAAATCCAAAGGAATACCAGGCATTATATTTGGGGACAGCTTGGCTGCAGGTGTTGCCAGAAAGTTGTCAGTGTTCACAGCCATCAGCCTTTGGGTCTCCTTCCAGGTTTTCTGCTTGGATTTAATTCAGGAGCCTTTTCCGTGTTTTGGATACGACCACAAGGCAGTGGAGTTTTAAAACCAGGGATTTTCTTCCCCTAGATGGATTGCTTTCCTAGGCTATCGAGCTTCATCTACATAAAGCACCTGATTATGAGACACCAGTTTACCACCTTTGCCCATTCTCTAGTTTGGATTGGGCCTAATCATCAGTGGCTATTTGAGATGAATGCCATGGAAGCAAAATCGCCTTTGACAACTAAGTTCAGTAACAGTCAGAAACCATTATTATCTCCAAAAGAAAAAAAAAAAGAATTCTTACTTTCTAAAAATATTTTCTGGCTTTAGATAATCTGCAAAGAGTTGATAAACTGTAGAAAAATCAATCAATCAATTACATGACTTGTACTGAGTTGACAGGTAAAAAATACACTGATATTTTTCATTATAAAGGGATTTCCAATAACTTCCAATTTTAAATATGAATTAAGCTTAAGCGTCTAATAATTTTTTCTTTTTCTTTCAGATTTAACAACTTAAGTCTCTGGCAATTTCAACCATGGAAAGATTAACAATCAAACAATGTGTTAAAGTTTCAACTGCAATTGTTTGTAAATTCAAACAAACTGTGTCGGTGGGAGATGTGAAAACACCATTGTGTGCTCATTTATGCTGTTCAGCTGCCAAAAATCCAGACACCTCTATTCATCATCACGTGCAGGAACTGAACCTCTCCACAACAATGTTACATCGAATTTTAACAAAAGATTTGTCTCTACACGCTTACAAAATTCAATTAACACAAAAACTGAAACATGCTGATCATTTGGAGCGTTGTACATTCGTCAGTTAGGTTCATAAACAAAGACAAGCTGATGAAGATTTTTTGCCAAAAAAACCTTTTTAGTGATGAAGCCCATTTTCATCTTGGTGGATTCATTAATAAGCAGAATTGTCACGTTTGGGCTGATGAAAATCCAAGGAAGATTGTTGAAAAGCCACTGCATCCACAAAAGGTCACTGTTTGGTGTGCATTTTTTGCTAGTGGAATCATTGGGCTGTATATTTATAAATTTGAACATCCGTTTTTGTAATAGGCTTCGATAACTTTAACACATTGATTATTAATCTTTCCATGGTTGAAATTACCAAAGACTTAAGTTGTTAAATCTGAAAGAAAAAGATCATTAGACACTTAAACTTAATTCACATTTAAAATCAGTCTAAGTTATTGGAACACTCTTTATTTTAAGAATTTTTTATATTTTTAAAAATTTAGTTCATTAATCATTTACTTCTGCCTAGTTTGTCTTCATGATATTATTTACTTAGTGTTATTATTATTTTTAAAGGAATTATCATAACAAAGTTTTATTTATTTTTATTCAGTCGAGTTAGCTCGGACATTCACAAGGCTATCACGCCAACCATCATGGATCTGCATCAAGGTCGAGACATCATTAGGGAGGCATTCTGTGTCATAACATAGCTGGTCAATTTAGATGGTTACTGGGTGACCAACTTGTCTTACTCTATCGCTAGGCATCCAGAACAGTAAATAATTTGTATGTTCTTGTTTTGCTCACCAGCAGTGTTCTGCAAAGCACATTCTGTCTTTACGTAAGATCGTAGAAATATCAGGGATGGGTCCATAGAGCTGTGATTTAGTTGGATGTTGTCTCCAGGAGATATTTTTTTTGTATCTACTCACCCCCCCTCCCCATACGAGGTCAGGTTGTGACACAAGGTTGGTTTAATGTGGGGAGCCCAAGCACGTACACCCATGCCAGGAACAAAAATTCCCCAAGCCCCTGCAACTGTCAGTTGCACTTCCCTTAGTCCGAGCACTGATCCCTCTCTTTGGTGCAATGAGAGCGTGCAGCCTCTGGCAGCTATTCTCTAGGGCTGGACACCTTTCAGTATAATTTTCCTCAGTTGTGTCTCTGTCCTTTGACAGGAGCCCCCCTGAGCACACACTACCCAAAGACATATACACAATTAGAGATGATAAATAATGTGTTACAAACTACATAAGAGAGTAATTTACACACATATTAAATATAGCTTTCAGCATCCAAGTGTAGGTTATATCAAGCTTAGACTGTAGGTTTTTAGTTAATGTCCAGGCAGTGGACATTAACTACACTGCCTCTATAGTTGCTCAAAAGTATCACCAAAGTACCAGTGATCTACATCAGTATTAGTTGATTTCTCATAGCTAAATATGCCTTAACACACTTCTATCATTAATCAGCTGAAAACTGCAATATAACTAAAAAGAAATATCAGTAAAGGTAAAACACTAACTTGGGAAATATAGCATTGGGTCCATAGAGAAATATGGACATCATACAAAGATTTGCTTTAAACAATACCTGTTTAAATAAAATGAAAAGTGTTTTTCCTGATTGTACCCTACTGAAATGGGAGGTGGTTAATATGCCAATGTCTCTTTTATGCTGTCAAATATAGCATATTTTTCTTTACAAATTTATGTATAACTATATCAAAACAAAAGCATTAAACATAATTTATCATTTACATGTCAATTTATGGCACAGAGTCAATTTTGTGTTCAGAATCAGAATTGCTAGGTATAATATCTACTTAGCAACTGCTACTCTAAGCCCATAAGTGGTATTTGTACAAGACCTGGAGAAAGGATGTTTATAACACAGTTTTAAGTATTCTGTCTGTCTCACTGACTACTTTGGATTATTAGTAGTGCTTGATGTGCTATTGCACACAATGCATTGATAGGCCACTGTAAGGGTAAAAGTCTTATACTGATTGGGTAGGTAAGGCAGTATGTCAGTCCTGGGTATGATGATAAACTACATCTGGTAGGAAGACCTGATCAGGTGATTGGAGGTTTTGAGGAGCGTAGAACCACTTCTTAATTGCTGCTGTTCCAAGACCCATCCTGACTTGGGGTGGTAGCACTTGTTAGGGTCCCAGCTATGGACACATATCAAACCCCCAAACAAAAACAAAACACTATGAAAGTATAAAAATATATTTTTATAGTAAAAATACCAGCAATACATTTTTATATAAAAGAAATTCCCAACAATATCTGTTTATAGTAAAATGACTTTCAATACCTATTTATAGTAAAATTACCAACAATCCATTTAATAGCAAAATGATCAACAATACTTTTTATATGTCACTGAAAGCATACAATTACGTTCAAAATATATTTAATTAAAGACATAAAATCATATTCAAAATATTTAGATTTTGGCATTAAATAACCCATAGAGGTTGATATACCACTAAACAATATCAACCAACTAACCAACCAAGGTAGTTTGGTGTCAACTATTATCTATCCTACATATCCTCATAATCTACAATTCATATGTCTATAGAAACAATCCCATTCAGTAACAATCTATCTTGAGTGGCACTTAGGCCTTGTATTGGGTGAATAATAGACTAAAAAAAGAAAAGAAAATAGAAATAATATATGCAAAAATTTTAATTTATTTTTCCTATTTTGTAAGATAGTAAATGTTACCTCTCTTTGCAACCTTTAACACTTAAAAAATTAGGATGCTGATTAGAATATATCATTTGGTCAATAAAAGCATTAAAAATAAATTCGATAAGAAAGCACAGATTTACACCCCACCAGAGAACTGAAGATCCCTGTTTTGTACAGTTTTACGTCTCCTTGTGCAAAGTGAAAACTTTGCACAAAGAAGACCTGGGTGGTACCTGTCAGAGTCTTGAGAATGTCAGAGGAGAAACTATTGATAAATGAAACATAATTAAAATCTGTTTAAACCCTTGTTTGATACTTCACAACCATTACATCACAGTTGTAATTGATTAAGCTTAACTCAAATACAAAGACACAAGTATGGTGTACGAAGTGAGGACTGAACTCACTCCTCAACCCGGTCAGCTCACTAACTACCAATACAATGTACTCTAAGTTGTAATTATTCAGTTTTACATCATTAACTTGGTTTTGAATGACTTTCAAGATACTAAACTTATTGGATCTGTGTAACATCTGCATTCTAGAATATTAAAATATACTTATCTCTATTTTCAGTTAAATCAAGTTGAAACAGCTCTTCAGGCATCTGTTCCCGATGAGAATTTAATCCAATTGAGAGCTGATTTAAAAGAATTGATTTCCTTAACTGAAGGTATTTTTATTTTATTAAGTTTTTATTTTATTTCTTCTTTTTTTTCTAGAGAGAGACTGTTGATATTTTAAGACAAAATACATTAAATCAATCAAAAACATTTTTTTTGTTTTCTTTTTAAAACCATTTTTGAAGTTAGTAAATACTTAAAATTAGTTGAAAAATTGTAATTTTTTAACTACTTGGGAGCAGCTGAGGAGATATTTTGCAAGAACTTGTCCCTGTGCATCTGATGGATATCTCTCAAGAAATTTTAGTTTTCTTCAATGATGGATGAAATATTTTGCCAATATGTTACACATTGACTATGCTAGTATTTTAGAACAGTTGTGTAAAAATATTTTTCACTAAAAGTAGCTTAATTCATTTATTTATTTTAAGTTGACTGATTAAAATCAATAAAAATAATTACATTCAATGTGTTTAGATTACCTCCACGAAATCGCTAAAAAATAAATAGCTTGATGAAAAGATTTTCATTCAAAATTTTATTGTTAAATGCTTATGTTATTATTAAAGTTTTTTTTTATTATTTTTAAAAATTTTCCTTCTTTTATTCTAAATTTTGATTAAAAAACCTTTTTCTATTTGTATCATGGGAACTAGTAAATAATATAGACAATTTTTAGCACGTTTTTTGGTATGACACACATTAATTTGAAAATCGCAAAAATAGAAATAATTATCGGATGTTTGAAACTTTCAGGAACTATTCACAGATGATCGAAATTATTATAAAAATGTTTTTTTATGAAAGTCATGGTAGAAATATTTTTTAAAAATAATTACCCCCATAACTAATTTTATGGAAAAATTAGAAAGCAAAGATCACATCGGTTTTAGTGATTATAATAATTAGGCTTTGAGGAATTCATGTTTTTTTTGTTTTAATTTTTACGCAGTTGAAAATCAGCTCTGAATTGTAACATACAAAACTCAATAAAAAAAGATATTATTTAATTTCAAATGCTTTTATTTGCTTTTAGTTGTTTTTATGAATAACAATATTTTCTGAAAGCAAAAATTTTTTCGATGAAAAAATGAATTTTAATACAATTATTTGTTATTTCATTATTATAATATTTTAACATTTAAGAATTCATATGTTAGTAATTATAAAATACAGAAGACCAACCAGAATATTATTAAGTTCGTTATTTGAGTTAAGCATTGTTCTCCGCTGTTAAGGCCTTTACTTTTGCTAAACACGTGGAGAAGTTAAAATCTTATGAAATTTATATGATCTTATTTTTATATTAATCATTTTCCATAAATGAAATATCAAAATTAATAATAAAATGAATGCAAATACAAATAACAGTAGAATGTAATAAAAAATTCTGATAAAAACACAGAAATACCTATAAATTAATTAGATACCTTTTAAGAAATATGAAAATTTTTCACTTTAACAGTTTTATTTTAATTTCTTTTAGAATATATTTCCCATAAAGCATCATAAGAACTAACAAAAAACAAAACAAAAAAAAACATTTGAAAAAAATAATTTGTTCACGAAATGTAAATTATTTCATTTTTTCTCCTTCCAGAGAACAAAAGCCTCATGGAATTAAGTGAATATATCATTCATCACATGTCAAGAGACAAAAGTTTCTTTTTTGTTTTATTTTCAAATTACATCTTTTGGCACCCTTTCCACACAGTTTAGGTTTGGTTCAAAATATTTTAAATAAACTTATAATTTCTGATTTTTTAAAATAAGTTTTGAAAAAAATGATAATTGATATTTAAAAATTTCAAATCAGATTTCTTTTTTTTTTAAAATGGAAAAAACAAAAAAATTTTGCTGACTCAAAAAAAACGAAAATTTGGACGCGCTTAGAACGATTAAAAATGGAAAAAATACCCAAAAATACTTTGACCTTTCCTCTTAATAATAAAACATTTAGACGATAAAATTTTGTTTTGTCAATTTTTGCAATTTTTGTGTTTAGAGGCATATTGACATAATAGTAATTTTCATTGCACAATCTTAAGAGGTTCAACATACAATTGTCAATTAAAAGGCTTTAATTAGAACAGATTTGTTCAAAAAAAAAGCATAGCAAAATGAACACAAATCTCAGGATTCCAAAGCTCCTCCTCAACACAGATTCCTTCCTTTTTGTTAGAGAGACAAGGCTCCTAACGATACAAAGAAAAATTATGAATTATTGCCCTTGAATAGAACTCTTTGGTGAAAGGGCTAATCATTATGTAATTTGCTATTTTGACTGGACACAATTTTCAGTCCACTGTAATCTACCAGTGTATTTTTGCAATTTTTGTATTCTTCCATATTAAAGGCATTGTTCAACTTCAAGCATCTTTACCAGTTATTTTTCCCACTAAAAATTTGGGATTGACATTTATGAGAGGATAAAACACTTCTCAATTGTAACTCATTTTTGAATGAAATAATGTATCCTTACCTGTTGCCTGCTTTCTTATGTATAAATTTCCACTCTCACGTCATCAAAGGAGAATCACTTCTTAATGCCTCCTTCATGGGCCTATTTTGGAAGGTGCTTTCCATTTTGTACATTCATAAGCTTTTAGGCAGCAACCATCTTCTGTCAGCATTTTGGGAACTCACTTTTCATAGGCCTTTAAGTAATCAAGTGACTAGAATAAACTGAAGATACTACCAATTCTCACCTTAAGCTTTCAAAGATGTTTACAATAGTGATTCTTCTATCAGCTATAATGATACCATTGCCCTGTTTGGCCTTATACTTATTTACAGCAGTAGCAGCTGACTTGCCACTGTGGAGCCTATCACTAAAGTCAGTTTCTCCTTTCTATCTAGGATTAACATTAACACTTATTTTGCTTACATCAAGTACAGCTTATTCATATTCACTAACTTGTGAATGTTTGCAGAGCTTTCTCCTTCCAAAAACAAAAATGCTATAACAGTTCTTTTTCTTCTACATTTGTTCAGTGGGGTGGCAGCAGTTATTTCAAAAGAGGATTATAAGGAGGAAAGGAGACAATAGCTCCAAAAAATTTTCCCCCTGGGCTTTATAAATATTACAGTTTAAAAAAACCATAGAAAATCTAATACATTTAATATGAAATTAGAACAGACATTACTTTTTGATATAGCTTCATATATTTAGTATAAATTATTAGGCAAAGTTTAGCCTTCATGCCTGCAAAAAAGTGTGTCAAACAGATTGTTATTCCCTTGATACCACTATTATTTTATACACTTTTGACTCCCTTAGCAATGTTTATTTACAAGATTGTAAAAATATGTGAACCAAGTACAATGAGATATCTATTATTTACTTTTATAAAGATTTATTAGTTACCATTTTATAAAGAAATAGATTTTAAAAAATCTTTTTTATTCAAAAATTTACAAAATTATCAAAATATGTAAACAAACTGCAATGCAATATTTATTTTGTAAAAGTTTTAAATCATTGCTAATTTGAAAAAAAATGCCTAGAAAATTTGCTGACAGGTTAAATAAGCAAGCTAATAAATAGTGTTTAATATTTTAGTTGTCAAGAATAAAGAAAATATATAAATTCACTTTCATATATTTAGGCTTTATTAAAATTCTAATCATCACTTTTTAAAATAATATTGCCGAGGGAATTAAAAGTGCACACAGTAATAATAAATGTGTTGACACACTGTATTTTTACTGACACAAAGGTTAAACATTGCCTATTTTTAATTGTGAAATTAATAAATTATAATACACACTTGTAGCAGCTGTGATGTGTACATTTCACAAGACAAAACCTTTTTGTTATCAGATAATTCCAACCCATAAACATGGTAATGGAATGTTGTATTCCTGTAAGCATATTTTTTAAAGTTAACTTTATCCTTTTATTGGGTTGGAATTTCCTGCACAACTTATAATAAAAATATATATAAAGTTGTGCAAGATCTTTGTTTCCAACCGAATAGAAATATTGATGAAAGGCTAAGAAATAATGTGACTTTATGAATGGGTTGATCACATGTACAATTTTGGAAAATGGTGACAAGGAATTTTATTAAAGTCTGATATCTTAAGAGGTGAGTCAAAAACTTCAATGTACATTTATATTTGATAAATAAATGTGTTGCAGTTGGTGCATGTTGAAATCACATTGTGGTCACCAAACTGTTGTGGAATTATTCTTAGACTAAAAGTGGTAGCAATCAATATTTTGCACATGTAAATGACAGTTATGAGGAAACAGAACAAATTTCAACAAGGCAGTATTTTATATTTTTTGTTTTTATATTCTAACAGTTTTGCTTGTAGAACTCTCTTCTGCCTACATGCTTTCCAACCAACTTTGATTTTCAAAAATTTAAATGCAATGTCAATCGTTATCTGCTGTCTTCCTGATGATTCTTCTATTGTTCCCACTCCTTCATAATATTTTCTGTTTTCTAATTATTTCACATCCAGTAACCCCTTGTGCCTTAGTGTCTTTACTGCCTTGCTTGTGATGAATTTGATTAAAAACAAAAAAAACTGAGTAACAAAAGAGAAAATACACAGAATGCAGGCAAAAAAAGGAAGACATTACAAGGTAGGAATTATGTTGGAGATAAATGGGGAAGGCTTAATTAGTTTTAATTTTTCAATTAGTATTTCTTTCATTTTAATTTCAATTTTTTTTTGACAAAACTGAGACCATCATTCTATGGTTGTCAGTCAGTAGTAGTAGTAGTAGTAAAGAATAAGCCTCTGACAAGACTTGAACTCATATCCCTGTGCTTACTAATGACTGAAAAATTGTAATCTGTGATTTACCATAAAATACAACTGAAATTATGATGAAAAAAATACAATTTATGGGATGCATTATTATTTTCAGCCAAACTAATGCCCTCATCTTTGTTGAAATTTAAGTAAAAAAAAAATAATCATAGACTGATTCATCTCATAATATTACTACCAAAAATACATATTTAAGGGTTAGTTACAGAATATTTAAGTTTCTATTATACATGGTGTGTGTATTGAAGTTTAAGATGTGAATAAGTCTGCAACAAGTGGTCAAAGGAATTCAGTGATAATCATGTAGACTGCAATGAAAAATGAGAAAGAAGACAAAAAGGAAGTTTAGTTAAGACATGTATGTGGCCAAAATCCATTATACTGCCAAATGAAGACAATAAAAGATCTATCTAAATTTATACAAACTGGATCCTAACTGACTCTTGCAGAGAAGGCAGAAAATGATTTTTAATTGGACTGATTAACTAGCTGTAGATTAAAAATAGAATTTAACTTCAGTGAGGAAATCATTTAATGGAAGTTTGGATACCAAGAAAATTATAGATAGTTAACTTTATTGACAAAACAATTCCATCCAATAAAGGATCCACATAAATGACACTGATATATTTTTTTTAAGTATAGCTTAGTTTTTAGCACAAGATCATGTTTGAGGTACCTATTGAGGATTAAACTTACTACTAATGATATACAATTCCAGCTTGTTAACATTATACCACAATGAAGTACCCACACGTATGACATTGATGGAAATATTTTTAGCTTTCATAAATTAGTTATACTCTCAAATTTTGCAATTCAAAATTATTATAATTTATATGAAGTGTATGCAAAAGTTCCTAACACTTACTTTTTTAAACTAGGAACTGAATACATAGGAGAAAACCATGTTTTTCCAAAAAAACATAGGAAAATTTTGCACATGCTGAATATTGGAAATAATGACTTACACAGCACTTATTTTGATTAAACACATTACTTAGAATGATTACTTTGCTACTTATGTAAATATAAAAACAGTCTTAGTTGGCAATAATACAGGTGAGGCAGAAATACCTCCTAAATATACTTTGCACATAATGGTAAGACATTAGTGGCAATGGTGTCTTCATCTTGCCATTATGTGGAAGGTATTTCTTCTGCACTCTATAAATGACAGCTGGCTATAAAAAGGTACTGTTGATTATTTATGGCTAATTTGTTTAAATAATGCACTGACTTGTGACACATGGCAATAACTGATGCACTAAAATAATTAACCAAGTAATCGTTATAAATTTTGAATACTGGTGCCATATTGAGAATAACTTTTTAAATTCCAAATTCTGCACAGTATTTTGTTAGAGAAAAAAATAACCTTATTAAAAATACTTATTCTACCAAAAGGTGACATGTCTTAACTTAATCATTAACTGTACTTTTTATTTTTTCAAGAAAATCTTTTGGCACTCCGGAAAAGACAGTTACTTTCAGAATTAGAAGCTACTGATAATGAACAACCAAATCTCAATTCCTCTTCACAGTCTTCAAATACGAAGGACATGGATGCCGAATATGCTGCTTTTAAGGTAAATTCTTCAACACACATATCAGACTTTCTGATTCCAAATTTGCACAATTTATTTATAGAATTTATGAAAAACATGAATGTTTCTTTTAAAGAGAATCTTAAATCTTCATAAAATACTTTTGTTGCATGTATGATGTTAAAATTGACTGTATATCAAAGTTGCCAGATTGATCGACAAATAGAAAATTGAATGATATTTAAATGCTCAGTATAACTAAATTTTGAATTGATGTTCTTTTCATTAGTCACCCAAGTTAGCTTATTTTAAAAAACATCAGTTGTAGTAGTTAAATATGTTAGATTATTGAAGAATGGATGTAATAAAGGTTAGTGGTGTAATATGGTATTTTTGATGTGTGCTTATAGTTGATAAAACTTTTATTGGTATTTCCGACATAAAAAAATTATTTTCTTTTTTAATTAGGGTGGCATTTCTAAAATCAAAGTTATGGCCAGTCTTGTTCCTGTGTATTGCAAGTGAGTTTAAATGGTTGTCCCAACATATATATATATATATATATAAGCCTGCATCTGTGAATATAAGAAAGATCTACAAAGATTGTTTATGTCTAAGAAAAAAGAAACTGTCGCCCAGTATATTACTGGAGGACAATGCTTTTAAGGCAATCAGGTTTTGTAAATAAACCGCTCAATGTTAATAAATAGCAATAATTTATTTTCTGGCTGTGAGTTTCCCAGAAGTAAATTCACACTTCAGGAGCCAAATAAATCAACTGATTAAACATTATTTATTTTATATGTAGTTCAAGATTTGCTATATTTATGGGGAAGATTCAATGTCGGAGATAGTGTTTGTCGATATAGATAGTATGGATATAGTAATCAACACAGCATGGTGAGTGTCAGTTTTTATATATATATATGGCCTGATGATTGCATATATTATATATAATATAAAAGACTCAAACACTAATATTCCATGGTTATAATTTATTACATTGGAATCATAATCACAATCCAATTCATCAGACATACAAATTCAAAATTTTGAATTTGTAGGTCTGATGAATTGGATCGTGATCGATTATATATATATATATATATATATATATATATAGGCAATTGAACACGTATATATTATGTGTGTGCATGAGTGTGTTGGTACAGTTTTATTTGGTCAGCCATAATTTGTATCTTTTCCAATATTGCAGGCTTTAATTGATGATGGTGAATCAACATCAGGCACCTCTGAGAAGAGACCACAGAGTGAAAATTCCCAGATAGCTGATTGTTCAAGTAATGACCAAAGGGAAGATGAAGGTACAAACTCCAGTGAAGAAGACGACGAAGAAGGAAACAGAAATTTAACTGAAAGTTTAAAAAGTTTAATTGGAAAGAAATGCCAAGCTCCTTTCAATACAGAATGGAGTATGTATGGTACGCATAATGCCATCATCACAGATGTTCTTGATTTTAATCCTCCTGATCCAGCACAGGTAACTTTGTTTTTAATTCAAGCAATAGAGAAAAGTAATAAGTTTATCCTTCAGTCAATCAGTCATTTATGTGACATGCATGAGACACACTTAAGCGATCATGTATCTTTCGATACATGACTGACAAGGCAGATTTTTTCCTGCAGTAGGTTATCATTTCTTTCTGCAGTAGACCAGTTGCCATTCAAGGCTACAGAACCTGGTCTGTGCTGTTATTTACCCATAGCTGGGGGGAGGGTGGAAAAGAAGAGGATTCATACCTTTTGTAAGGGTATTTAGCATGTAAGTGAATGTAATGGATTCGACTGGAATTTGAACTCGGCTGTCCGATTCCTAACCACTCTTATTTTCTGATAATGTTGTGTATGGATGTTTGTATTTACACACGTTTATTCACCAAAAAGAAAAATTCAAATTTAAAAATATTGATGGTATCTAGAATACTTGCTGCCCAAATACCTTCAGTCAGTTATGTGCCATGCATGATACATGCTTAGACGATCATGTATTTTTTGATACATGACTGACGAGGCAGATTTTTTTTCCTGCAGTAGGTTACCATTTTTTTCTGTGGTAGTCCAGTTGCCATTCAAGGCTATAGAACCCGGTCTGTCCTACTATTTACCCATAGCTGTGAAGAGAAGAAGAGGATTCATACCTTTCCCAAGGGTATTAGCTATTAGTTTATCCTTACCAAATACTAACCTGATTAAGCAAATATAATGGAAATGTTCTTTGGTAATATTGTTGGTATCAACCATCATTAAAACAATAAGATGATCAATAAATCTATACCAGGTTCTGTAAGCTTGGATGTGTGGATGATGTAATGGATAATGGCTTGAAATTGGAAATCGGAGAGCCGAGTTCCAATTCCTGTTGGGTTTGTTATATTCACTTACACACAAATAAACTTTGGGAAGGTATGAATCCACCTCTTCTCTTCCCAGCAATGGGTTAATTTGTAAGACTTGGATCATTAAATCCTTATTATCTCCCAAAAAAAAAAATTCTTACAATCTATAAATGTTTTTTGGGTTTAAATAACCTGCAAAGCCAGAGAAGACCAATCAATTAATCAATACATATAAGCTAGTATGGGCTGCAGCCAAGGGACCCCAAGATTAGAGGGGGCCCCCAACAATAATATAATTATATTATAACAAATATAATTAATTTTTTTTTTTAGCAGTAATGATCTAGGATCACAAAGCTGTAGCAAGTCAGAATTTTCATTACTTATGTTTTTCAGGATGCTTTCCTAGTGACTTTGAATACTAGTATTTCAGTGTAATATAGACTTTTCATTCCCGATACATTTTTGGAGGAAAAATATCATGAAGTTGCTAATGAAATAAACTGGATGAGTTCTAAAATCATTTAAGGGATTCCAAATTCTATTAGCCCAGGGGCCTCTTAAGGCCTATACCTGTATATATACATATTTATAAAGAAAATATGGAAATGTTTATCAGTCTAATATATTTCCCTTTTATTAAAGCTTTGTCAGCAAATGAAATACAGAGAAAAAGATGAACAAAATTTTAGTATTTTTACTTTTGTGCTGTTTGATTTTAATTGGTCAATCAGGTTTCATATGTATTCGACATTAAAATCAACATGCATTGAATGACAATACTTACATAAAAACACTGGTTTGTTTGTTTGTTTAGATTGTTTTACGGCATATCAATCTCAATGGGTTATTTAATGCTAACAATTTTCATTGTAGGTAATATTTTTTTTCCAATAATCTATTTCTGGTAATATTTTTTCCTTCAAAAATCTATTTCTGGTAAGAATTTCCCTTCGCTGTTTTTTTCAAAAAATGTATTGCTGGTAATATTTGTTTTTATACAAAGTCATTCTGGTATTAAAATTTATTTTTACACTTTCATAGTATTTTGATCCGAGTTTGGGGGTTAACTATTTGTCCATAGCTGGGACCCTAACAGGTGCTACTACCCCGGGTCAGAGTGGACCTTGGAACACCAGCAATTAAGAGATGGTTCCATGCTCCTTAAAACCTCCTGAACAGAGGCCTTGCTGTTGGACGTAGTTTATTGTCTTACCCAGGATGTAGTTTATTGTCATACCCAGGACGGCATAAAAACACTGGTGCCATATTTGAAGATCTTATTAAACCTCAGGCAACAGCCTAGTGAATTAAGGCATTGGTTTGTGAATTTGGTGATAAAACAGTAAATATAGAGAAACAAAAATTAAATAAAACAGAAGCTATGAAAAAATGAAATCAAATCTTGGAGTAAAAGAATACTACCCCACTACGCTCAAACTATACGGCTTACCCAAAACACCCAAACCCAACATACTTGTCAGACCCACTGTGTCCTGAATCAACAGAGCACCCTAAAAATTATCAAAAGTTATTGCAAAAATCCTAATTCCGTTCGTAGGCACCATTAACCCAAGATACATTAAACACTCTGATGACTTAATCCAGAGGATATGAAATATAAATGTAGAATACTAAGTTATGGCAAACTTAGATATCAAATCACTATACCAATATATCCATTACAAAATGCCTCAACATATTGAGAAACCACCTAGAAAAATCCAAAGTAAAGTTTCTTTTACCTGTCCATAAAATTATAAAACCAACCATTGTTTCTTCTCTTTCAATAAAAATTTCTATAAATTTGGCTTACCTATGGTATCACCTACTTGTAGTGTCTCTTCTTTTCTTTTCCAAGAATTTTTAGAGTCCAGTCTATTTAAACACATCTTATGTAAAAAAAAAAAAAGCTCCACTTACGTAAGATATATAGATGATGTTCTTTTATTATATTCTCTTAATATAAATCTATTAGACATCCTAAAGAACCTTAATAACATAGCACCTACCATTGAATTCACACAGGAATCTGAAATAAACAAATCTCTACCTTTCCTCAACATCTTATTAATACATCGCAATAACAAATTAGATTTTAGAGTTTATCATAAACCCACAAAACAAAATTGGTCTAATTAATTTCTATTCACAATCAAAAAATAAAATCAGTATTAGTTATAGGATTCTACATCAGAACCCTTAGGATATGGTTATTCTCTAAGCATAGCTTAGATGTGGCACAAGGCCGAATGGGTGGAGCACTCAGTGAAGACTGAATTCACTTTTCAGTTGTAATTGATCTTGCAAGATAAGTTTGCTAACCATTACACCATGTCAAGGTGCCCAAACCCTTAGGATATGTAGCCAAGAATACTTAGGTGAATAAGAGAAATATATTGAGAAAAAATTTAGACTTTTTCACTACCCACATCATTTCATCCTCAAATAGCTTATAAAATTCACAAATCAAAAAAAAACAAAAACTTAGACACTACCAATAGCACTTCTAACAACAACAACACAAAATTCATAATCCTGCCCACTAACATTCTTTCTACAAAATTTGTAAATAAATTAGTTATCCCTAATACTAGGATCTTTACCACCTCTCCAAGACAAACAGAGATATAATTAGGAAGAAAAATAAATCCAACACCAATTTAGATGCTGATATTTATCAAATAAAATGCTTACAATGTAAAAGCATTCATATTGGAGATACATCAGTCAGTCAGTTATGTGCCATGTGTGATACACGCTTATGCGATCATGTTATCTTTTGATACATGACTGATGAAGCAGATTATTTCCCGCAGTAGGTTGTCATTTCTTTCTGTGGTAGACCAATCAAAAGAACCCAGTCTGTCCTGCTATTTACCCATTGCTGAAGGGAGAAGAGGCGTCATACTTTTCCCAAGGGTATTAGCACATAAGTGAATGTAATGGATTCAACTGGAATTCAAACTCAGCTCTCCGATTCCTCAATCTGAGCTGCTATCCATAAAGTCTAAAAGCCCCTATCTACAAACATAAAAGAGATTTACGTTTAGACAACCATTCAAACTCTATCATAATACACAGGAACAAAACTGGACATAGCTTTGATTTTACAAATGCCACCTTGATTAAAAAAAAGAACATAATTCTTTACGTCGAACATACTTCAGGGCCTACTAATACTAATTACCAACTATAAATACATATCAAAAATATCATGTCACCAACTATTACTGAATCCTTTCTTAAAGAATGTAACATATGGTATGCATGTAAAAACATTCCAAAATCAACATGCGAAAAACCAACAAACATAATATCTACAAGACATACACACACTTATGAATATATCTTATTATTATCTGAATCCCACATAGACAAACTAGAATTATTATACACTTACATACATATAAATACGGTTTTTCAGTTAGGCTTGGAATCCATTAATTTCTTGAAACTTCCAATAGCTACATTGTCTCTCCTTGAATTCAGAACAAGTCAATTGTATGTGAATCATGATTAACCAATGAAAATCAAACAGAAAAGTAAAAATACCAGAATTTATTTCTACCTTTCCTCTATTAGCTGATGAAACTTTTATAAAAGTGAAACATGTTAGACAGATAAACATTTTCTATTTCTTCTTTATCTTTTTTTTTTCTTTCTTACGCCTAATTTTTTATTGCCAAATACTGTAGTTGTTATTTTTCCTTTTTATTGCTTTTAATTATGTCTGTTTTCATTGCCTTAATTTCATTTTATACCTCTAATAAGATTATTTACATGTGGACTATTGTCCTCATCTTTTTTGTTGTAATCACAGTGTTTCAGCTACTGTTCCATCTGGCCTTTATCAGGTGTATGTCAATCCAATTAACATACAGGAAATTTCAAACTGAATCTTTTATTTAATCTATGGGGTAAGATTGTTCTCATTCCACTGCCCATGTCTAGGGCTATCTTGTCTAGTTTTTGATTTTAGTACTGCTCAGTTATTGTTTGTCCATTTCCACTGAGACCAAGTACACACTGCTCAGTATATGGTTTGAACTCACAATTGCTATATTACCAAATTCACAAACTAATGCCTTAATCCACTAGATCCTGAGGTCTAATAAGATCTTCAAATATGGCACCAGTGTTT